CAGTATGATGAAAAAATATACGAACATCTTTTTATTGCTATTGTTGTTACAAGTTTTTGATCTGGCAAATAAGAAAACAGTGTAACATTATGTGCCTCTATGATAAAACATCAAATGTTCATTCACAAACCAAACAGAACTATCTGGACAGTAGTTATAAAAATACCTTGATGTGTCTTTTTTCTTTCTTTTTTTTTCTCCTTCACATAAATTTTGAATATTTCTCAGTACATATTTGTCATTAAGTAATACGATATTCCTTCAATTTTACGAAATGAAATGAAAAGAGAAACTTCAGAGAGAATAATAATTTTGAGGAGTAATATTTAAAAAGTTGTCAGCAAGTCCAACGAGATTGTGACATGGAAGAAAAAAAAAGTGCAGTATAGAGTACTTAGAGAAATAGTTCAATAGGCAATCATTTAATTCTTTAAAACTTACAAAAATGTTCTTTAATATCTTTTGGTAACAATGTTTTATGAAGGATTTTAAAACAACTTTTGATTTTCAAATATTGAAAAGTAGGCTTTAATGATTATTTGTGGTAAAATTCAACACCACCACATTTGGTATTGTTCAATGCACTCGATTCTCTTTGTCACACATTATAAGTATAAATCATTACCAGTAAAAGTATTTCACTGGCTACATAAAGTGAATTACAAGAGAAAATCATCAAATGTCAGCACGCTGCATACAATCTACTGTAATAACAATAAAAACTTGTTGAATGTATTTCTAGAAGTAACAACTATATTCGGGAATGTTCTTCCACAAAGTGAGCATAAAAATTATGTATTATGTTCACGCTTCAGTTACAGACTAGTGATCTACACACACACGGAATAAAGTTACAATTGTAATCAACAACAGTATCAATGTACAAATTTTGTTTTATCAAACTTTATTGCATTTTTCTAGTAACATGATGTAATACTACAGGCAAATGATTCAAGACAAACAATTACTTTAAAAATGTGTGTACAACAAATTCTTGAAATATCTGAAATGCCTTATTCTGGTTTCTTTATCATTTTTGTCTGGTAACCATCACCAAACAAACAGTCTTAGCAATTTATCCTTATCTACAGTTGTCTTGTGTTTAATTTTAGTGTACATGTAGATTCAACTGAGCTATCACCCTGAGTTACAGCAATGCTCCTAAAAAATGAAGAATTTATATCTGAAATTACAGTCAATCTATTAATACAGTGCATATGGGATATATATTTTCAGGAAAAGGTTATTGAAATGAAATATTTGATTGAAATTTCTGTAACGAAAAATCTGATTCTGAAATGTGAAGCATTGAACTTAAGAAATGATTTTTGATGAATCTACAACAATTTCATTTCATAAAAATATGCACAGTGTTCATTCCTCTCAATGTTCTTTATTTAACAAATGGTATTAAGTTACAAGCAGTTTGTTGGCCAGTTTTCATAAAATGGTCTTGTGTCACTAACAATTCAGTTATAATTAACTGTACACAGTATTACAAATAAACATTAATTTTAAAATGTTGGTTTGCAATCAATGCCACTGTTTCTTGTATACAGATATGTGATCAGAATGATTTCCACAATTTCAGAAATCCTAATGAAAATATTGATTTTATATAGATAATTATAATCATGCATAACACATTATCATTGTTTTCATTTATTTTACAGGCTTTAGTGAATCTTTTTAAAGATACTTGGCTTGAAGTAGTATTAAAAACTTTTCCACTCTTCTTTTCAAGGCAAGAATATATTCAAAAGGGCACAAGCATAGGCTGTATTTTCCCCCAAATGTAATTCATATTATTATCATATATTTCATCATATTCCATATTATCACTATTTCCTCAGATCACTCACAATGTTTTAATTTCCAATAAACACACAGCACGCCGCAATGCAATTATACACAAATTACCGCTTGGAAGTAATGCACCTAACATATCTACAAAAATAATGTTGAAATCTGTACTGTTGTCTTTAATTGAATATATCATAAGTAAACAATGACAGATCAGTTATGCGATTTCCAAAAGTTCATTGTATTTGAAAGAAAATTAACTCCTTACTCCTTCCCATATTTTGTAATGAAATCACAAGGCTTTATCTTATTTGCAAGAAGAGGTAATGCATTTCTGAATTCGTGTCTTTCCTTTCACACTAATTTACTGGAGGTCTCTTAAGTGCAAGTAACATAGCCTTTTGTTTTAGTAAAATGCAAATTTAGCCTGTAAGTATGAATTGTATAATCTGTTTACAAATACAGCAAAATTTAACATGACAAACTTCCTTTTTAGATCATTTAGGATTTTAAAATGGAAATGAATGATTAACTATATAAAATGAAAATAATTATTTGGAGAACTCTGAGGAAAAGTACACCAAGAAAAGCATGACAGGTGAGCAACAACATCAACAACGAACTGAATAAGCTTTTTTCTGGTTTTTTTGTTTTGTTTTTAAATAATTACTAAGTATTCGTTAACTATTCTAGTCAAAATTAAATAAATTAAGAATGAAAAAATGTCAATTCTGATTCCAGCTCCAAATTATAAGTTGCAAAGCCCTCAATGGTTATTAAAGAAATTGGTGTTATGATTAATTTTAATAAAGCATACAATTATTATGCAACTTTCAAATCCAGAGGCCTAAATAACAAACATGTTTACATTGATGTTTATAAATGCTACACAAATTATTTGGATAAACAACTGGCACTTACACTAGAAAATTTCATTAATCATTCTGGTCACATATGTAATGAACATATATATGTAGAACAAATTAACCTATTTTCATATTGGACATCACGGCAGCCTGTAAGGTCCAAGAATCAATTAAATCTTTCACCTGATACATATTTAAGATCTTTATTAGTCAAGGAAATAAAGCAAAGAGAAAGTGAAAATAACACAATTTGTGACTTTCTGATTCTTTAAAAGTGGTAAAATAATAATTCTTAAACAAAATATAATAAAATGTACATTTTCATAACTATAATGAAAATAAAACTTAAGAGGTTTGGTACAGGACCCAATTACAAATTGAATTGTTCTATTTACAATTGAAGTTTTTGCACTTCTTAAATTAGATTGTATAATTTTAATCATCTTTTATGTAGTTTACCTTGCATATCATTTGGAGCAAACAATCATTGAATAACATAACAATAAATAAACCATGTGCAAAATATTAATGAAAATAAAGGAGTAAAATCACAAAAAAATAAAGTGAAACAACAGCAGGTATAAACACTGATGGCAAAAAAAACTTCAGTTAAATTACAACTCCTATGACATCTTTTATTGTAAATAAATGATTTAAAAGGATGTAATTATGACCCTGGACTGCTAATGTTTAGAAATTTTCTAGAATTTCCCAAAACTAAAGCATGAAGTATAATAAAAAATCCTACTCTCGATTCTTTCTAACCATTTCTTTACAATATTATTTGACCAGCATCATTCATTTCTGATTTCATTTCATGGTTCCTTAAATCTTCGATTTGTAGACCAGGAAATTGGAATGAATTAAGTTTTGGTGATTAAAATAAGATTGGGGATGCATAAATGAAACACCCTATAAAGAACATTGAACTTAACAAAGTATATGTATGCACAAATAATATTACTATAAAGTTCAGTTGCAATATACACTTCAAAGTGGGAAGAATATATATGCATAGATGAAGAATTAATCTGTAAAATGAAAAGGATCATCATACACAACAATATTCCCTTGACTACAAGGTACTTGCATGAAAGTGACTCAAGCACCTTCTTTTAGGTGACCAACTTTGATTCCCCCCCCCCTGAAACAACAAACTACTTGAAATTATCTAATATGCCCACTTCATTTGCAACGCGAATACAAAACTTTTTAACTACAAAACCTTTACAAACATGCAATTTTAATTTTGGTTTTGTTCTGTAACTATGCCACAAATTGCAACTTGCAATGTGAACAAATAATATTCCACTAAACATATAAAATGGAATAGATTATTTTACATACAAAATGAGCTGAATTCATCACTTCTAACCCAATGTTACAAAAGCTTATCCAATACATAAGTGAAGAAAATTTTAAAAATGCATAAAATGCATAAAAGGCCAATAATTTGCCATACGCAAAATATAGATAGATTTTTATCACACAAAAGGAATATTTTAACACATCCATATTGAACTGAATGTTATCAAATACGTAACAACACATCCACTTAATGAAGATGGGTTTAGCAACTTATCTAGCATTTTCATATAATGATGCCGCTTCTGGAAGCAAAGATAACTGTTTGAAAGTTTTCTATAATATTGTGAGGTCTCACATATGAAACATACAAAAAACACATGTATATAGAAAACTCCCAATATGTGTAATTATAAATGTTAAGCTTTATCATAAAGCCTTCTTGATGCTCATTTTGCCAGGTTAGTAGAAACAGTGGATTACGTGCTTCTTACTCAGCTGGAACTTCAATCAAGGACAACCATCTGAACACTGGAATAAATGAGTTTGCACTCGTGTCTCTTGTTACCAATTCCTGAAATTCATGGCCTTGACAGGTACACTCAATATTCCCAAGATGACAAGATGTTAAAATGTAACACGAGTTGCATTTATAAAATAGAAGACTTTTTTGGAGGAATTTGATTACTAACAGGGTATAAAGAAACTGTGTTGAAACATTGCTAGTCATAAGACCTGGGTCTTTGATGAAAGTGAAAGATCTACTAATTTAAAAAAAGGTTTTGGACCTCTGGCAGAGATGAAATGAATCTCATACCACCTACTTGAATTCATCATGCACAGAAGCAGTGAGAAAAAAAAACATAATTTGAATAAATGCTGCATTACCAATTATCAATTTACACCCCTTAAGAACTGCATAATTTTTATCTCCTCGACACAAAGAAATATTATACATAGTATTCACTGCTAAGTCTAAATTTGTCATTTGTGATTGACAAGTTACTTGGTACACTGGAAAATATGTCACTGAGTTGGAAACTGTTGCATAGTATAGGCCATCATACCAGCTCCTGGTTGTTGTATAGCAGAACCTTGGGCTGCAGCTGCCATCTGCGGAGCAGTTCCAGTGACAGGAGTTTGAGCAGCAGGCATGCCCTGCCAAGGTGACGCTATCTGCATCCCCATTCTTCCCATATAACCTTGCTGATATCCAAATTGACCATAAGGATAACCCTGCAGATATTGATTCTGAAGCTGAGGTGCTGATGCTGGGGCAGTTGGGTAACCTTGAGGATACCAGTAACCCATTTGCTGACCATAAGTATAAGGGTACTGCCCTCCCGCTGGAGCCTGATTAGCATTGTGAATCTGATTTGGATCTCCTGTCTCCTTGCCCCAGAAACATTTCACTGCTTGTCCATTGATCTCAGTGTTGTGAATAGCTTCAATAGCTCTTGTCGCAGAGTCCTTAGTAGTAAATCTGATAAAAGCGTATCCCTTGTCCTTAAAAACACGAATGTCCTGAATAGTGCCAAATGGTGCAAAAGTTTTCTGCATCAATTCTTCAGAAATACCATTTATGAAACCCCCACAGTATACAGTGCAATTAGTAGGGCTGGATTGGCTATATACTTCCTCATATGTTGGATTTTTTGCATTAGGATTCCTTGGCCTTTCACTTCTTGGAGGAGGTGGCTTTCTTGTTGACCAATTAGTACGAATACTGCGACTTCCTAACCATTGGCCATTCATAGCAGCTATAGCATTTTCAGCCTCGGCTTTCTTCACAAATGACACAAATGCATAACCTTTAGACTTCAAAGTTTGTGGATCTCTGACTATTCTGCAATTGGATATTTCTCCAAACGGTGCAAAAGCTTCTCTCAGAGTTTGAGTTTCTATCTCTGGACTTAAATCACCCACAAATATATGGTAATGATTACTGGTGTCCTGTTTCGGTTGATTTCCTGGAGAAGTTGCCCAATTCACTTTCATTTCTTTATCAAGAAATAATCTTTTATTCATAGCGGCCAAGGCTGTAGAAGCACCCTGATGGTTAGTAAATTCCAGGAAAGCGTAAGGATCATTTCCTGGCTCTCGTATTATTTTACAACCTTTCACCGGGCCAATCTGCGAAAATAGCGCGCATAACAAATCTTCAGATACCGAAGCATCCAAATTACCCACGTATAAAGTCCTTGGATTGCTTTCCTCACTCATCTGTCTTGACATAATCCGCTAAACACGCAACAAAATGTTCCAAATTCGCCTTGTCTTGCGCTTCCCGTTTACCACATATGCTGCCAGAAATGCTCGGCGCCTGACCACAGTCATTTGTCGCGTTTGTTGCACCTTGGTACGTTCAGAAACTAAGGATCAGTCACATCAGACTTGAACTCTGGCCGTCAATATTTTATATTATTTTAGGCGAACTAAACATTTTGTGTCCCTAATATTAACTAATATTTTCTTTAATAACTACTAAGAAAATTTAAATTACATTTTGAATTCATTATTCAAGAAAATTTGTAATCGAGATTTCATGCAACAGGTGAACGAAAGAAATCTGAAAGCTTTCCATTGCTCCCTACGTTTTGTTGATATTTGTCGAAAGACCCGGGTTTGATTTAATGTGATATTTGCCAGTCTGTCTTTTTGACTAATTTAAGCGACGCTGTATAAGGATCTGATAACCCGAAATGCAATATTTGTAATAGACAGATGTTCCACATTGCCTTTCAATTTGTGACATTTGAAAAAAGATACTGCTATAAGACATACCATCTCAGGTGACGTTACGAAGTTTGATGAAAGTCCTACGTCTTTCATCTGGCTATTTAGTTATTAAGAATGGCTGAAGAATCTATTGAAGAAAGGCAAGAGAATGAAATGCAAGCATTGAAGGTGAGCATGGAAGCGAAATTTATGAACATTTTGTAGTCTAATGCAGTACATAATTTAAATGTACCTTTGTTATTACCCCCCCTTTTTAAATGACAATGCACGTATCTCTGAATTACAAGTTCAACCAGTGAGAATATACAGTTCATTACATTGTGAATTATAATTTGAACCACAATTCCTTCAAATAAACTTTAACTTGATATTAATTTAGGCAATATTTGGCCACGATCTGAGGGATCTTCGTGAAAATGATGTTTGGAAAGTTTGGAGGCCTCTTGAATGTGCTGTTACTTTAAAACCTCAACAAGGAAGTAGCCAACAGGATGTTCATGTGCAGATTGATCTTCGTGTTCACTGCTCAAAAACATATCCAAATGAGTAAGTATATCCAATGGTATTTCTAAATGTTTCTCATTTTCCTTTTCTCCCTTCACTCATATCTTTGTTGCACATATTGTAATTAGTCAATATGGTTGTGGCGTACCTTGTGAAAAATTTCCTGCACTTCCAAATCTCCCATTTACGCATGGCATCGTCAACAAACCTATATGTACCATTGCAAGGTACATAGGCCACAAATTTATCAAACGTGTGTAATAAAATCTTCAGTGACTAATACACTTATGTATTACAGATGTATGTACTGCCTAGTTGAAAAGAGTATCCACACTGTGATGTAATAATAATAATTGTGTAATTTTGCTCTGAAACTGTATTATAAGCCTGTACTATCAACCCAAGTGTACAGAAATTGTAATTTGAAGCATCTAGCTGTTGCAATGCACTCTCATTCATAATAATCATTTGCTTGTTGATCATGGCATGCTTGGACGAATGAAATATGAATCCATATTAATCTCACATCTTCAGCATTGAATGCGATTAGTATAAAAGTATGTTTTAATTATTGAGTAAAATATGAAATTATAGTTTAATAATTATTTGTAAAATTCACATTCAGCACATATTTTTGTTCAGTATTGATTAGAGTTATTACACTCATTTATAACAAATATGCTCATTTTGATTTAATTGGTGGACTTTGGCAACATGGTCATGACATGTGGACTACCTAGTTAATCCATAAGTACTCAAGAGTTCTCATTTGAGGAGAAGCAGACTTTATTTTACGCAATAGTTTATTATGAACCATCATTATGCTCTTTCAGAATGAAGTCTTTTATCATTCTGCATTTTTCCTTCGAAAATATTTCTTTTGGAGCTCGTTCATTTTATATAGTATTTATATAATAATAATAATAAATATCTTATTAAAAGTTAGCAAACTTTCCTTGTTTGAATGTTGTTCCACAAAAATTGCCATTGGGGTGAGAATTTGTGTAATTGTCATCCAGTCCACATTATTATTCATAGCAATTGTTGAAACTTGCTCAACCTTCAACAAGAATGCTCTTGTGATCTCTCATCCTAGTACTTGGTGAGTGATAGGTTGAGTTGATTCATTACATGTAACATACTTCTGGCATAATGGCTAATACATGTGCTTTCCACCATTAGGACCTGGGTTTGATGCTCAGTCAAACCTTCCTGGTGGAATTGTTGGTGTACAGAGAGTTCTCTCAGCAGGTTTTCTCAGGGTTCTCCTGTTTCCCCTCTCTCTTTACCAAACATCTTTATAATTATTACAAAAATCTACTCATTTAACCATCACTGGTGGACCTCTATGACCTCAGCTGTGAAGGTTCCATTAACTTCGATGTAAATAAAATCACAGACAGAACAATTGTGGTAATTAATTTAATGTTTATTGAGAGTTTTCATCAGAACAGCAAGTCATTTTTTTTCTTTTTTTCTCCTGAGTTATACCAGTATTAAACGAATCTTAAATTTAATTTTTTAGAAGCATTTTATTCTTTTTAGGAGGAAAGAAAATGACTAAATTTCTGGGATCAAATCATTTCCAACATCAATTAAATTTTAACTTGTAATGGATTTTCTTATTTAGTGAATAATTTAAACTCTAGGGGGAATCTAACAGGGATAGGATATTCTCATCTTTTGTAAAGATTAAATAAAGAATTGAGAGTGAATTATTTGGGTTATATACCAGACAAGGTATGTTGGGATCATGGAAACATTTGGTCCTGAAATGGATTATGAAGAAAGGTAAATGTTTGACTGTTCACACTTGGGTGTAAATAAATCTAGCTGAAAGAGTAAGGAAGTAGATGAAAAGTAAACTGCAATTCCTGAGAAATAGAAGCAGAGAAATCTGAAACAATCCAAAAGACAGTCCAGTAACTACGAGTTATTGTGAGGGTAAAGGGTTAACTTTCTCCAATCAAAAGGATTTTGCTTATTTTCAATTTTGAACTAATGAAGTGAGGAACTCTTGAGGATTTGATTTTCATATGCAGAAAGGATGTAAATAATCTGTTATGAAGGAATTGCTCAAAGAAATCTTGACCAATTTTGAATGTTAATGTTGTAGTCACAAATTGTAATACTGTACTGGTGAGTTTTTATTAGTGATTAATTCTCAGATATATTTTTATTTTTTCACTCACTATGTATTTGAGTAGAAAAGGGAAAGTATTGTAATGCTGCAGTGGAAAGTGGCAATTTTGGGTCGTAAAATCTATTATTGTGAAGCCCTCATAAAGAAAAAGGGGATAAATCTTGTTCCTTCATGTAGAAAATTACCCCTTCTAACACATTGTGTAGTCAGAATCCTCGTTTTGTGGATCATTGATAACCGAAAAATTTGTTTACGGCAAAACGTGAATCTGTTACCAAAACCGTTCAAACACTTAACGCCGTTCATTCAATTTTCTCCAAAATTTATATTGCCCGATCGATCCGAAGGAACTCGAGACCTTGCGAATTTGAAACACATTTTGAGGGGGTGAGGTACTTTATGTGAAGTCTTAACATTTGCAAAAGTTTCTCAAATATGGCTACAAAAGTTGTGGATTAATTTTTTCTCGGATATAGTAAATAGCGCTTCAGTTTCACTATCGTTTTCAAATTGCAAAAGTTCAAAATCGCTTTATATATCTATGGCCGCATGCCTCGCCACTGGAAATTAGTACTACAGACTAGTGGCGTGCAGCAGTAAACATGCTGCTGAAGAAATCATACAAAATTGTTTTCCAAGACGTACTATGCCCAAAAACGTTACCTCCTCTCGTATAACATTACAATAAATTAAATATTTTAACAAACAGTCTTCACAAATACTGCAATGACAGAGTAAATGTCTTGGATTCCCAAGGGGACGTTACCACTTCGCAGTGGGTGCTGGCACCTTCCGTGGGGACGGTAGTGGATTCAGAGGTAAACGTGTGTGTGTGGGGGGGGGAGGGGTGCTTATCCACCCTATCAACACCGAACTATTTTAAAAATATTTATAAAATTCAGTTTACAAATACTGCCTCGCTTGAGCGGAGACGAGATCGCAGCTATAGCAAATCAGATCTCTCTCCCTCTGCCGCAACGACTGCAGCGGTGGAGGTGATTTTGTGGGAAGATTCTTTCATTGCAAATATACCAGTTCGTACGTGCACAAATCAGATTCATGAAAGAAATCTAGGAATGATTTAATATTTTTGTGTGTCTCGCAGTGATAAATATGAGTAACAATGAGTACATCTAAATAGAAATGCCGGCAGAACAGCATTGAGTATTGGGGATTGTCTTGAGTACCCCCATTCCATAGCATGGATAGTCAGTAACCCGATATCTATGTAAAATCAAAATGATGGAAAAATACTTTTCTTAAACTTAAACTTAACTTTTTCTTGAATTAAAGGGGTTGTTTGATATTCCGTGCAATTTAATCTCAGCGCTTAGCCCTATTAACATGGTACAGTACTAGGCATACAATGCTAGGCATACCCTCGCACAGTGCTAGGCATACAATGCTGTAACGCGCTATTCAGCCGCTGGACGTTTAAAGTTGGGTTCCATTACGATACTATTTTAACTTTTAAAACAATTATTTCCAATGTGTGGAGTTTTCTTACATGTCTAGCTAGTACAAATATTTTACAAAACTTATAATAATAATGTAAAGAGAATCTTTGAACGCTCACCTGGTAAATTTTAATGTCATTTCCGAAATCACACAGTTCAAAACGAAACAACTCCCGAGACGAACTGCTCACCCAGGTATCTTACCATAACAGCTCCGTCGCCCGCAGGATAGGGGAGGTCAAAGATGACTAGGTGTGTGATGTTGCCAGGCTCCTTGGCGGTTCCCGTGCTTAGTAGCAAGCCACTCGCTGAATTTCTGCTGCACCGCCCTTTCCGTTATTTCGTCGCACAATGCTGGAGAAAATGGCTCTGGCGATTGGAAATGGGCAAGACGGATCGATCATAGTAATATTATTTTGCGAAGTGCAAATAGTGAGGACGATTTCGATGTTACGAATGCTGCTAATGGAATACTAGGCGGTTCAGTTTTGTAATTTAAAATTTAAATCATAATTGGTCAGTCACTTATTATAAAGCCAAGTTTAAGACAAAAAGTATTTTTTTTTCAAAATCAAACAAAAAACATATTGGAATATGGAACTTTTTTTTTAACGAAACCTTCTCCGGGGCTTTAGGACACCAGGCATAGATGCTGTTGATGGATTTTGCGATCGTTTGCGCTCGCGCGGTTTTTGCTTTTAGTTTCCGGGTGAGTCCGGTTAAATGATACACTCAAATGTAATTATGTTTATTTTAATGTCAAGAAATCAGAAAGCTCCAACGTTATCAATGTCTTCCATATGACCACTCTCCTCTTCATTTTCCGATTCACCCTCAGAAATATTTGCACCATTGATAATATATTTATAGAAAAAGGGTTCTGGCTTGTTCTCCCAATTATTCCCGAAGAGCATTTGAAGCAGTCGCTTAACATCATTTTTCTTAGTAGGAAATACAGCTATCCCAACTTTGACTTTTTGTATTGCAGCACTGTTAACATCCATTGAAAACCTTTTTTGGGGCATCCACAATCGATCAAATAAGCCACTTTCCCTTGAATGTGAGCTGAAGCTGTAGGAATGTTCCTTCGTGTGATAATGAATCGTTTGCTGGTAGCTAAACGGAAGTGCCAATTCTCTGGTGATTTCATTACAATTTGGGCCGGTGTCTTCCAATTAAAAACATCAAAATCGCGAACAATTTTCAAAACCGTTCCACGATTTTCAAAGACACTGTAATATTCTTCAGGTCGCACAACAGTGTGTATTTGTTTTAGGTCTCTTTCAATTAGGCCAAATACTGTGTCGGGAGGCAAGAATGAGTGACCTGCGACCGGAAAGTGTAACTTTATTCCTTTTATGTTTTTAGGGGCGTTATTTGTTAACTAATCAACATAATCAAAATCGTGTTTTTGGTTTGGCCACCGGCCCCGTCTGCAAAAACGAATATATCTTTCTTTCCATGTTTGTGATGCAAAGTTTATGATAAATAGCGGAAGCTATCAGTACTGATCCTTTCTGGTTGTCTACATCAGTCCAAGTGAATATTGTTATTTTATCCTTACTCAGTTTTCTTGTAGACGAGCCTTCACAAACGGTGAAATTGTACACATGGAATTTTCGACTGTAATAGGTTTGCTTGATCTGTGACTTTCGGAAGTACCAAGTTCTTTTGACAGTCATATAATTTCATCATTTTCTTGTTTAAGTAACAAGTAAAAAGAAATTGCCCTCATTTTGTGCAAGTCGAACTCAAATTTACAGTTTTCACCGGATTTCAACCTTTCTTTAAACTGGAGACATTTTGAGCATTGATCTGCTGCTGGTGATCCAAATCCCATGTTATAATCTTTGGTAAAACACTTCTAAAAAACTCATACTGTATTTTTAAATCATAGTCTACTGATTTGTTGTACTGTTTGCAGAGTAAAGATATATTTAAATGACTTGGCAAGTACTCTCTCAAAGCTTGGCGAGTCCTACAATAATGAGATTCTAATGGAACTAAGGTTTCAATGAATTTTCCTATAACTTCTGCTTTCTGAACATACTTTGGGACCGGTGGTCTCCTCGCGTTTGTCTGAAGCTAAAGAACCGGTTTTATAATGACGTTTGCATACTCTCTGGGCTCTTTGTTTTATTAATGTGTAAAATCTTACAGTATACTTTCTTGCAGACTAAAATTTATTTTTCGTTCCATTTCAAGATATTGGAACATAAGTTATATAAAACTTGGGTAACTTGTTTCCTATCACCGCTTGCACGATATCTCTTCGGAGATTGGCTTGAAGAATACAATAATAATATTATTATCCGGATCAAGTATAGACTTGGTTTCATAAAACCGTTGATGAAATTTTCGAACGTCTTGCATTGCCAAAGTGTGACACTTCAAAATTGTATTATTATGTTGACAAGTGGGCACTCCTTAAACAAACATGTAGCTTCCTTAGCCACATTCTTTTTCCATTTCCCGGATTTCTTTTACGTTTCCTTGCCTTACATTCAGCTGCAAGATGCTCTCTTCCTGCTTCTCGCACCTCATTCTCTTCATATGTTTCCAAAATAGAAATAAGTTAAAATTATATGTGGTGGTACTGGATGAAAACTTTACTTTCCATTGACCATAAAAGATCATACTCAAATGAGCGTTAAGAACAATATTAGTAAAGCAAACTGATTTGTTGAACCCAAAACACGCACAAAAATAACGTTGTTTGATCGCCTCTTTCACATTACTCATGCAAAAATAGCCAAATCATGTTTCAACTGTTAACATACTGTGTAAATAAAAAGTAATATTGAAGTATAGTGTAGATGGATTTTTACAAGGAACATTATATTACTGGTGAGTCTTTAAGATGTAAGTTTCAAACTGCAAGGGGACGATTTGGTTCTGTAGATTTGTCTGCCATGTTGCAATCCTTGTAAAGGACAAGAGACATTCTGGAAGTCACAGTTTTTTCCCGCCTGTTATACACTGGAAAGAGGACGTTTTGGTTCTAAAATGTTGCTGATATTAGAGCAGATTTTGTAAAGCAAATAGGATATATTAAAAACACGAAATCTAAAAAAAGTGGACAAGAGACTCTTTGAAACTGGAAGGCTCGCATATTCGTAAATTATAGTCACCCCGTATATACATGTTCTGCAGGTACATGAATTATCTTCGACTGCGTCAGAACGTGACCTGCCGAATATCTGTGCGTAGGGGGTTGCTTATATATCAGGGGCCACACGTGTGTATGTGTGTGTGTATATATATATATATATATATATATATATATATATATATATATATATATATAATTATCCATGGTGATCATTCCATAAAACTAGTTCAATCAAACATATTGTAATAATCCTACTTGGAATCGCCCTTCATATGTTACAAGTGGGTTTGAAGTTGTCCTTACATGTTCGTAGAATTAATTATTCCACTTCTCGTGAACTGTGCTTCGTTTGTGGATAAAATATTACTGCAAGTATCTGGTCTTTGACGAAGCGAGGTACGAAACTGCTTTCACATCTCTGTCTTATGGTTGTAACAAAATGTGTTGGATTACATACCTCTGTTACTTCCGTTTTTGTGGAAAGCGTTTGGAGAATAGAGGTAATGAATTAGTTTCTCGCCACCTTTTGACGTTAATAGTAAATCCACTTTTTTGCGGCACAATACTTTTAGGAAATCGTATGTTATATTCATGTTGTGGTCCTTTAGAACCGCCATCACAAAAAACGTTAACAAATCATTTGCGTGTTTCTCGTTGCTGTAAATTCCTGGCATTTTCTTGCGAAAGGAACGTCACATTATTCAAAATAGGCCGATGAGGTTAAAACATAAACAACTCCGTTTCAGTATTTTTCAAAATGAGCATCAGTAGCTCGCTGATGAAAGTACCGCTATCGAATCTGGAAGCAATTCAAGTTTCAATTGCCCGCTCTGCGGAGTACCAACGATTTTACTTCCTCATTGGACAAATTTAATCATGTGATTGTAGATAATAGAAGAATTAACTATAGGGGTTTTGTTTTCTCGCTACGGAGCAGAGAGAAAGTTATTTAGTGCTGCGCGAAAAAAACGAGAATTTTTGGCTGTAAAACGCTGAATTACGCTGGTAACGTAAAAGTGGATAAATCCTGTTGCTAAATTTAGAAAAAGAAAGAAATCCTCGAACCCGTGGTGTAGTTAGAATCCATGTTTTGATTCCGAAAAATCGAATAACTGCAAAACGTCTCTCTGCCCATCCGTCTGTGAACAAGGTTCGCGGCTAAACCGTTGAGCTTATTTTCTCGAAAATTGATATTCCATAATCGATCTGGCTCATGTCGCGACCCCTTGAATTTAATTGGGGAGGGGTGGACTTTACATGAATCATCTGGGATATTTTCCAGGTTTTTATAAAAATGGCTCCATCGTTATTTGTTACATTTTTTGTTGGATAGTGAGAAGAACGTTTAAGAGAATGGTGTAGGTCTCATTTTCGTCGAAAACTAATTTTTTGAAAAATACCAAAATTCAAAATTTTTTTTCTGCGTTTTTCTCAAACTACATTTATGAAGATTAAATATGTTTCCCGTGATGAAGTGTGTCTAGAACCAAAACTTACATAGAAGAAATGGAGGGTAAGAAATGGAGTTATTACTGAAGGGCAAATGTATAGAAATTTCGAGTTCGCAGTGTTTTGACATTTTACTGAACTTTTATAATACCAAAATGTGCCTGGTTCTCTGAAATAATGAACCTAAAAGGTTAGTCTCTATAGTTAGTTCACTATAACAGGAGTACACAGGTGTTTGTTTGAAGATACGAATTTATTCGGAGTTCTGCCATTTCCTTATCTCCAGCTGTGCATCCAAACGCGTTTACTCTGATGGCCACGTTTAAGCGAACATGACTGCTCGTTTGTTTTCCTTGAAAAGAACTAGGAATGCCATCTGGATCGCGCTAATCATGGAATAGATTTTGGCATTCAAAATTCGTTTAGGCATGAATGTTGTTCCAGAACGTT